GGGGATACAAATTTTCGTTAACGATTTTGCGAACACGGATTTGAATATTTAAAAAAAATCGATTTCTACTGATAAGGAGACGTGCTGATTAGTTTTTGGCAAAGGCAGTTCTGACCGTTTTGGAGATACGGGGCGAAATTGCCAAAAATGTTATTTCAGTTTTTGAGATAACGGAGCGTCCGATTTGAATAATTCAAAAAACTTTGCACTTGTATTGACGAAATAAACAACTGATGAAATTTTTGTAAAGGCAGGTTCAGCGCCTCCGGAGATCCAATAAAAAATGTGAAAAATAATGCCATTTGGCGGTCAAAATGGAACATTAGACATATGTACATCGTATTATCAGATACTTTATAAAGATTATAATAATAAGTAAAAATTTTGTGTACATTTATATGGGTTCCGTACCAATGCTTACACGTTAGACGACTACGCGGCGCTTACGCGCTTTGATTGTTTGACTCCAAATTAGCTACGCAGCGCGATTGCTTAAAAAAATGTTCAAGATTTAAAAAATATCAAGCTATAATAAAATCAAATTTTTCAAAAAAGTCAAATTTTTTCAAAAAACTCAATTTTTTTCAAAAAAATTCAAAATTTCTCAAAAATCTAATTTTTTCAAATTTTTGCAAAGTTTTTTTTTAATGATTTAGTTTTCGGTACGGAAAGTTCCAGTAATTTGCCTTAAGGCACGATGTCATGCACCACTAGTTTTGTAATTAAATCACTTCTGATGTTTTAAGAGATGTATTCTGACCAGTGATTCCCAAAGTGGTCTGTATTTGACCTTGACCCCCAGGGGTATGAAAACTTTCAGCTGGTCCATGTCAGCGAAAAAAAATTCGGGGTAGTGGATCACAATAGAAAGTGTTAATATCCATTTACTATCTTTAATAAAAAGTCATATAGAATATTTATAAATAGAACTAAAAAGTAAATAAAAATATTGTTCTGTTTTTATCAAAATGTGTAAGTTGTGTCATTAGTAGGCATTCGATTTGTGTTCGCAATATGGTTGAGAGCTTGTAAAGACCCAATTTGCTGACTATTGAAGGGCTTGGCAATATTATTTGAGCTTTCTGAGACTGTCATAGTATTTCTGGATACTGAAGAACGATTTAATAGTTGTAAAATATAGTGACCTCATAACAAAAATAAGATTTAAACTTTACATCATTAGCCGGAAAATGTAAGATTGTATTTTACAAAATTGTTTCCAAATGTTGATAATTAAACATTTACTCTTTGCTTACTTTTTTATTATCACTTTAAATTCAGTTAATAATACAGTTAATATAAATTGTTAATAAATCGAAGTTTGGTAAATAGAGGATTATGGCAAAGCCCAAGGGGTCGAAGGAACAAAAAAGTTTTAGAACCTTAGAACCATAAATTTTATCCCTACGTAAAGTTTAATTAAACGTCGGTTTCAAACGATTCAGAATAACTTATAACGTCGAGGGAATACAAAATTAGCAAATTGAATTTTCTGACGATATCAATAAATTATTTCGGGCTAATAATTCACTATTCTTTCAGTGTAACGCAGGCGACTACTTTTTGGGGCGGCCGAGGGGCGGCCAAATAAAAAAAGAGCAAAATCAAAGGCGGCCATAACGAAAAGCGGCCGTAATAAAAAGCGTTTGCATTAAAAGTCCACTGAATTAAAAGGCGGCCTAGTTAAAGACCGCTGGATCAAGAGGCGGCCAAACTTAGTCTTTGCCCCCACTTGGTATACTTATTGATCATTCATAAATTAACCCTTTTCATTCGCGAATTGTGAGATCCGAGTGGAAACGTTCAATTTATGAATAAGTATACCAAGTTGCTGTATGGCATTATAATACCAGAAAATATTGCAGATTATTCACGTTTGAATAAAATTTACTTTTAAAAAATAATTATACATTATTGAAGAAAAAATGAACACCCGCCTAATACACACGCGGTGTATTTTTTAAAAGTACGTCCCAATATTCCAAACGTTTTAAACATTTTTTTAAAATTAAACCAGTTGTAGCAGGCCTATAATATTTTAGGGTTATAATATATTAGGATGTTCATTAAAATTATACTAGTTCAGTAATTTAAGCTTAAATTACGTAAGAATCTCGGAATTCGAGATACCTAGCTGTAAGTCTGTAAATACTTATATATTGACACCTAAAAGTTGTCTCAAAACCTACATATATTGTGTACATCCTACCATATGTAGATTTTGAGACAACTTTTAGGGTGCTATTTTAGGGTATTTACAGACTTATAGTTGGGTATCTCGAATTCCGAGGTAAATTTACTATAATGACTGGACTATAGGCGAGGTTTCATTAAAGTGGTCAAAAAAAATATCATTCATTAATTACGAAGAAATGACTTGGCGGGTCTTTTCCAAAAGCTAGCCAGAACGATTCCCAACTGATATCTTCCGCAGAGATTTTAAATTTTCAAAATCATTTGCGAATATGTTGACAAAAAATTAATTTTCTCTAAACCCTAAAGAAACGGCTGAGCCGATCGTCTCACAAACCACATCAACGTTGACCTAATCGAGTAACACCATAAATAATTCCTAAGTTTTTGAAATCGGTGCAACTGTTGACGACGAAATGTACAAGTACACATACATTTTCCAAATTTGATACTTAAACAATTTCGAATGACTTGCAACGTTGAGGGAACATAAAATTAGCAAGTCGGATTTTCTAGCAAAAACGTAAACTTCTCCTTCAGGAAGTTAAAAATTAAATTCTATTGAATACATTGCAAAATACTTGGCACCTTGCTTCAGACGTGCCAATTTGAAGGCAATAAATATATTCCAATTATAAATTTCGATCTGGTATGTATTGATATGACGCTATCGTACATATACTCCATTCGATTTACAGTTCATTCAAACATTTATGATTAATATGTTTAACGACATGTGTAATTTGGAAGGCCACAAAAACTATGACGTTTATTTTAAAATTGTGTATGCAAGCTAATGGATTATTAGCACGAAATAATTTGATATCGTCAGAAAATTCAATTTGTTAAATTCGTATTCCCTCGACATTATAAGTTATTCTGAATCGTTTAAAACCCACGTTATTTTGAACTTTACATAGGGATAAAATTTATGGTCCAAACCGTAGGTTCTAAAACTTTTTTGTCCCTTCGACCCCTTGGGCTTTGCCATAGACCTTTATTTGCCCAACTTCGATTTTTTGATAATTTGTAAATGTACTTCAGTTTATCATTTGATGTTTAAAGTAAAAATTCATGTTAATTGTATTATTAACTGAATTTACAGTGATAATAAAAAAGTAAGCAAAGAGTAAATGTTTAATTATCAACATTTTGAAACAATTTTGTAAAGTTCAATCTTACATCTTCCGGCTAATGATGTAAAGTTTAAATCCTATTTTTGTTGTTAGATCACTATATTTTATAACTATTAAATCGTTTTTTATCTTCAGTGTCCAGAAATACTATTACAGTCTAAAAAAGCCCAAATAATATTGCCAAGCCTTTTTATTTACTATTTAGTTCTGTTCATATTGTATATAACTTTTCATTAAAAATAGTAAACAGATATTAACACTGTGTATAGTGATCCACTTTTGAAAAATTTAATTTTATTATAGTTTGATTTTTTTTAAATCTTGAACATTTTTTAAGCAATCGCGCTGCGTAGCTAATTTGGAGACAAAATATCAAAGCGCGTAAGCGCCGCGTAGTCGTCTAATGTGTAAGCATTGGTACGGAACCCATATAAATGTACACAAAATTTGTACTTATTATTATAATCTTTATAAAGTATCTGATAATACGATGTACATATGTCTAATGTTCCATTTGACCGCCAAATGGCATTATTTTTCACATTTTTATTGGATCTTCGGAGGCGCCGAACCTGCCTTTACAAAAATTTCATCAGTTGTTTATTTCGTCAATACAAGTGCAAAGTTTTTTGAATTATTCAAATCGGACGCTCCGTTATCTCAAAAACTGAAATAACATTTTTGGCAATTTCGCCCCGTATCTCCGAAACGGTCAGAACTGCCTTTGCCAAAAACTAATCAGCACGTCTCCTTATCAGTAGAAATCGATTTTTTTTAAATATTCAAATTCGTGTTAGGGAAATCGTTAACGAAAATTGGTATCCGCATACACACACGCACACATACACACACATACATCTATTTTTCCTAAGGTACGCCAAAATTTTCAGAAACCTCTAAAACGTAAAGATGTAAAAAACATTTCATTTTCGATTTTCTTGCGATTACTATAATCTACGGAAAGTTAAAAAATCATTAAAATTTAAAATAATGATAAGGATTGTAATATTAATTAGGGGCACCAGGCTGTTCTGAGGGGTGCGCGTACATCTGTTTTCAGAATACTATTTCCGAAAATTACCCAAAATTTTTGAATTGATGTTAAAAAATAAACAAAAAATAATTAGTTTTTATGCATATTGCATACTAATTTGTAGTCTGATAATATCAGTTGAGTAATTCTAAAATTAAATTGTTGCAGAAATTAAAGAAGGCGCAATAATTTTTTTTATTAGAGCAAGGGGGCGCCGTGCAAAAAAGGTTGGAAACCACTTGGTTAAATGATAAATTCCATATATTATATGTAAAAAATTTAACGCAACCTTTTGCAAATCAATTTAGAATTACAACTATAAAAGTAATTCATTTACCAATTTAATTAAACTTTGTTGGAAGTGGCATTATACTCGTAAGTTTTACGTCAATAAACAATACTCTCGGTTGGTTTAAATGACTGTTTTAAACGACGGTTATATTTCGAACGATTATATTTCGGACATTTATCAATTTAGAATTTTGAAAGCATTTGTTTTTTTTATTATAAAAATGCTAGTCTAGTAGTGATGACTTTTTCGTCAAACAAAATAAAATCAAATCTCGTCGAGTTGTTTTTGTAAACGCAATCGAATATTTGCGATAGTATTTCTTGATTGAAATTTGACGATTATTAGAATGGATAAATCTAGAATGGATTTTACAGAGGAAGCAAAGGAAGCTGAAGCTGGGGTGACGAAGCAAGTAATCCGTAGAGGTTGTTTGGACATACTTTGAAGAGAACCGACTTTCACTGTATCCACGTCCAGTTTTCAATAGGATCCCAAACTTCAAGGGAGCCTTTGAAGCCGCACAGAGAGTAAGTGAACTAGATGTTTTCAAACAGGCAAAGACCGTTTTAGTAAACCCAGATAAGACATTGGAATGCGTTAGAATACTAGCCTTGGAGCAAGGTAAGCAGTTAGTGGTCCCTGTCCCTCGACTACAATCTGGGTTATTAACCAAAATTGATATGCCTGAAACCAACTCCAAGTACCATGTCCGCCGAGCAATTACTCGTAGAGGATTAAATGAAGCTCCAACCGTTGATTTAAACTCTGGTATCAACATTGACTTACTAATCATTGGATCAGTAGCAGTGTCTCGCAATGGCTTGCGAATTGGTAAGGGTCGTGGATACACTGATCTTGAGTTTGCCATTGTGCAACATGTCAAAGCCTAAACCAGAATACTCTTATTGCCACGGTTGGGTGCATGGACTGTGCCGGTGAAGGACGATATGCCCAGCGCTTTATTTGGTGCTCATGACGTGCCGGTTGA